AAACCCATAGGAGGAGTTGCAAAGGGCAAATGTCATCACTGTGGTAAGGCAGGCCACTGGAGAAGAAACTGCAAGACATACCTCGCAACCAAGAAGAAGGAAGGTACGACCATTTCTTCTGAGGTGTATGTTATAGAAGTTAACATGTCTATATCTTCATCATGGGTACTAGATACTGGATGTGGGTCTCATATCTGTACTACCATGCAGGGACTGAAGCAGAGTAGACGGTTAGCTCGAGGCGAGATTGAACTCCGAGTCGGCAATGGTGCACCTGTTGCAGCTTTGGCAATCGGAACTTATAGTTTAGTCTTGCCTAGTGGTCTAATGTTGGAATTAAACGATTGCTTGTACGTTCCTGCAATTAGCAGAAACATTATTTCTGTTTCATGTCTTGATAAGAGTGGTTTCATCATTTCTATTAAAGACAAGTCCCTTTCCGTTTACAGAAAGAATGTTTTCTATGCTAATGCCAACATGACCAATGGGTTATATGTCCTTGACTTGGACATGCCTGTCTATAACATATCAGCCAAGAGGAACAAACCGAACGGTTTGAACCAAACATACCTATGGCATTGTAGGTTAGGCCATATAAACGAGAAATGCATATCCAAGCTACATCGGTCGGGAATGCTGGAGTCATTTGATCTTGAATCATATGACACATGCGAATCTTGTTTATTGGGTAAGATGACCAAATCTCCTTTCACCGGACACGGTGAAAGAGCTGGTGATCTTCTGGCACTCATTCATAGTGATGTGTGCGGGCTTTTCAATACAACTGCACGAGGTGGTTATTCATACTTCATTACATATACTGATGACCTCAGTAGATATGGCTATGTGTATCTCATGAAACACAAGTCAGAATCCTTTGAAATGTTTAAAGAATTCAGGAATGAAGTTGAAAAACAACTTGGCAAAAGTATTAAAACACTACGATCCGATCGAGGTGGAGAATACTTGAGTGGTGAGTTCGATGACTATCTTAGAGAGCATGGGATTTTATCCCAACTCACACCTCCTGGGACTCCACAATGGAATGGTGTCTCTCAAAGGAGGAATCGAAACCTGTTTGACATGGTTCGTTCTATGATGGGTCATTCGACTCTACCAGAATCATTCTGGGGGTATGCGCTGAGCACTGCAATATATACTCTTAACCAAGTTCCAACCAAGGCGGTTGAAGGAACACCATACCAGCTATGGACAGGCAAATGCCCGGTTCTGTCACACTTAAAGATTTGGGGCTGTGAGGCTTATGTCAAACGTCTTATGACGAATGGCAAGCTTGACGCTAAGTCTGATAAGTGTTTCTTCGTGGGATACCCAAAGGAAACTCGAGGGTATTCATTCTATCACCCTATCGATAAGAAGGTATTCGTTGCTCGCAATGGTGTCTTCCTCGAGAAGGAATTTCTCTCCATCGCAACTAGCGGGAGAAAGATAGAGCTCGAAGAAATTCGAGACGACGAAGAAACTACCGCGCCGGTTCTGGAACATGAGCTAGAGGAACAAACT